ATCCTTCTCTGATGCTGAACAACCTTGAAACAAGGTCAAGAAATGTTTTATGCTTGGTACAAAATTTGTGTAGAAAGGTTCCCTTATGCTCCAAAATATAGTCCATAGATCATCATGGGGCAAATCGCATAATGATATGACGCCAAATGAAATTGAAAGACACTGGTTACGTACAGAAGTAGCTTAATTCTCTACAGTAAAACAGTTCATGTGATACCACTGTTTCAAAACAGGAGCCATTTGGACCTGAAAACATTGTTGAGCATTATCAAACCATAAAGAATAGTTTCGGAAATCTTCTTTTTTAATTTCTGACGCAATATTACAAAAGCTATAACCTATTTCCAGCAGTTCTTTGTAAATTTTACTATCGCAAGACTATTTAGATTTAAGCAAATGTGAAACCAGAGGCAGTCATGTCCTGTAGGAGTGTAACATCTTCCTGATATAGGTATAGGTGTAGTCGATGTATTCCCGGCGTGGTTTGTTACATGTTGTCCAGGGGTACATGCACAGTTGTCGTAAACAGTTCCATTAATCATATCATGGAATTCAACCATACACTGATACCAGCAATATGTTGGACGTACCCCGATATATTCCTCACAGGCATATCGGTAATTCGTTTTCATCTCCGCATATGAGTTTCTTAGGCATGTTGCATACTTTGGCTTATCGTACTTGTCCAACTGTACACAGTCGTAAACCCCATTTGGTCCATAATCAGGATTACAGTGCTGAGAACCCTTACATAGAGCTATTAAATCGAATACAAAAATTGCTATGACCACTCTTCCTACTGTGTCCATGTCTATTAAACTGTAACAGCAAATATAAACATCTGACTTTTAAACACTTTTGTTGTCAACAGATAAAAAAAAGAGGTACTTCAAAGGATTCTTAAGGGAAAAATATTCAGGTAGTAACGTATTTACGATTATAATCTAATAATACGATATTCTCAAATATATTTTATTAAAGTATTGTGAAAAATGCGTCTCATCTTTAATGATATCATGTTATTTAATAAAAAAATTGTTTTGTCGAATAAGTATTGTGTCTGAATGTTTAACATTTCTTTAGTTCAATTCCAAAATAATTAAACTCATTATAGATACCAGAAGTAATGTTATATACGCCAGACTTTTCAATTTATTCGGTTTGTGACCCGGATTTGTTTCAGTTAACTCGCTTTATGACTTTTGAACAGCGGTATACTACTATTGCCTTTATTTATCAGTGCCACTATAATCAAAAAAGTTTAAAATGCCAAAAAATGTACCTAATAAAGAAATGGTGTTTTAAATAATAGCATACGAGCCAAAAAAAAGTCTGCATTGTGTTAATTATACCATAATATCCGGATATTCTTAAAATTTAGGAAGATGGGAGGTCTAAATAAGAATCCACAGAATTTTTTAATAATTTGTCAAAATTTAGTTTGTTTTATGCTATTTTTCTAAAATATAATAAAAATACGGGTCACCAGACTTTTTTTAACGCTACAGGTTGTGCAAATATATTATATTTTACATAGATTATGCATGGAAAATAAAAATTCTGTGTGATAAAAAGAATACAACACCACAGAATTTAAAGATAAAATATGACAAGTTATCTCTAATAATATGCTTTCAGATAAGAAAAAGAAAAAATGGGGTCATCGTACTCGTTTTCGTGCTACATAATATAATTGGTACTTTCACAACACATTCTATTATAAAACTTTATCTGAGTTATCTTCCTTTATGTGGCAAAGTTGGAAAAAATGAATCAAATGAAATATTTAATTTTTGTCAAATACAGCCTAGAAATATCATAACACATAATTTCCCATATTAACATTAAACGTTTTACACATGAATTACACAATTCTCTCGAAATGAGCACATTCATCTACACCGATTGTTATTTACTATTTCAAAATCCAAAATAGAGGAAGACATGAATGCATTCAACGTTTTAATCGTTGTTGCGATCTAGCTGTATAATGTTGAATCTAAACATTGTTTAAATAAACCTTAAGTTACTAGTTTAACTTACTATTAAATTAAGAAAAAATGCAATATCTTTATTTTTATTTTTGCAAAAATTGAGACATGATAAATTTTGCCAAAGATATAAGCCTTTTACATATTGTTTTGGTTATTTGTGTCGCTGTGTTTCTGTCTATATATATCACACATCTCTTCTAACTTTTTATCCCTTAATAAATGTAACATGATTTGATGTCTTTGCATTTACAACTGGAAACGTATCATATCCCCATTTTTCATATGAACGATTATCATGCACTTGAAAATATTGGAATAAAAGAGAGATATGAATGGTTTTACACTAGTAATTTTTTTGGACCCGTTATAGCTTTCTGTTCGGTGTGAGCCAAGGCTCCGTGTTGAAGACCGTACTTTGACCTATAATGGTTTACTTTTACAAATTGTGACTTGGATGGAGAGTTGTCTCATTGGCACTCATACCACATCCTCTTATATCTATAGAATTCCATAAAAGAAAAAGCTACAAGGCAGAAATCTTGCGGTTTTCGCAAGTAACGATAAGGTTTGTGAAATTTACGCCGTATCCTTCCTTTTATTAAAATACTCATTTCACTCAATAAAAAGACATTAAAACTATATAAACAGACAGAAAAAAGATTACAGACGGTCTGGGTAAATGCAAAATGTTCCCCCCATATGTTCAACATGTTCAATTTAACCTGAAGCGTATCAATATATCAAAATGAAACATTTCTTTCCACCTTGCAATAAATATTTGTTTGAGGAAGCTAAAATACAAGCAACAGTATCATGTTATGACTTTGCAACACAACCCAATTAAAACCTGGCTGATTTCAAGTTCTATTGAAAGTTAAACAGATCCTGCTTCACATGTGACACTTGTTGTATTAAAGTGCATTTTGGAACATTTGATTATGTGTTGTTTGTCATATCTTAAAGTAATTGTAGAATTGGGTTTAGATGGCAGATTGTTTTTTTTATTGTAACTGTTTGGTTTATTCAAAACTTTCGAAGACTCCGGATATATTGTTTATACACCACTCTGTTGTCTATGCCCTCTTGATTTCATTCTTTTTGTCATTGGGTGGCTGGCTGATTGACATGTCCATCGCCTTTTATTTATAAATGATATATCGATTAGTGATTGATTATGAAATTGCTTAGTCAACCTTAGTTCTGATTTATATTCAGTAATTTTTGATATTGAGGTAAAAACCTGTCTTGCATTGTTTTCGTCGGATAGACCAATCCTCGATTTCTATTATCGGTGATTCCAAGATTGCATTGCCAAATTTAAGTATTGAGAGGACAAGTGTTAATAAAATAAAGCAATAGATATCTAGGTATTTGTTATTTATTGATAAGGAAATCAATGATAGTAACGATGAAAACAATATTCAAAGATCTTATTACAGTGTTAAATTATTATATTTTAATACGAAAACGAAAGTATTGGTGAGCTCACATGGATCATAACTTAATATGCGAACTCTATTTAAAATAATAACGTCAAAAAAATGTGGATGGTACAGTCAAACTTCCAAACAAAATCCTTGTATCTTTAAAATATTTGAGTAAAGGTGTTAAGTAATTGGTGGGGAAAATATCCCTCATTTCATAATTTACCAGTAACATATATATATATATATATATATAGATTGCGTTCTGTGAAATTGAAAACATCACTAGAGACACGAGCAAAGTGAACGAGTTGGGATATATTAACACGATTAAATTTGACAAAAGTTATATCATGGTACAGAAAGTAAAAGTTAACAAAAGGAAACGAAAATTCGTCCCTTCTATCATTAATTTTATAATAAATTGTCCCTAGTTAAATTGAAATACCTAAATCTAAGCAAAGGCAGGTATTGCTTTTTATTATATTTTTGTTTAAAGAAAGTAAATTTGGGTAAATTGCGGGTCTATATCAAGACAATTCTTCAATAAAAGAAATAGACAAACATACAAGTCTTATAGGAGAGCAATCAGAGCCCAAGGAAAAACCTACAACCTGTTGATAACTTTTATTGCCAGAACAATAATTTACACTTTCTGCAGGTCGAAACTGACACACACACATATATATATATATATATATATATATATATATAAACGCCTAAAAAGTGTACACAACAACACCAATAACAAAAAAGGAACTATAAATGTAATTATTTATAAATATTTCGGATAACAGATATCCTTCATCAGTAAATATGATTTTGATGTTGAATGAATCATATATCAGTCTACTTAAATTAAACTATAACAATCTTGATTGTATAAATTTCAAGATTGTTATAGTTTAATTTAAGTAGACTGATATATGATTCATTCAACATCACAATCATATTTACTGATGAAGGATATCTGTTATCCGAAATATTTATAAATAATTACATTGATAGTTCCTTTTTTTGTTATTGGTGTTGTTGTGTACACTTTTTAGGCGTTTATATAATTTATTTATTGTGTACATGTATCGTTACTCGTAACGATCCAGCGCCCTCGTGGGAAAAATCGTTGACTATTATTCAGACGTTATATATATATATATATATATATATATATATATAGAGAGAGAGAGAGAGAGAGAGAGAGAGAGAGAGAGAGAGAGAGAGAGAGAGAGATTCTACCACTGCACCGAGTGTGATACGATATTTATCCACTCAAGTCAGTTAAATTTTCATATTTAAAACGCGAGGCTCGCCGATCGTTTTAAATGTTTAAAATATAACTGTCGAGAGTGGATAAATATCGTATTGCACGAGATTTGGTTGTGTAGTCTGTTTATCTAATGATTTTGGACGATATGCAGACAATTTTAATCCTTCTTTTTGAACGACCTGCAAAAAGATGTGTTCTTTCTGCGTGACGTCATCAGGCATGGTCGCCTTTTTTCATGACGCCACAATAGGAATTTCAGTGGAAAGCAAGACAATTTGACGTCATAATCGAATTTTGGCCAATGAAGTACTGAGATCAAACGAACCACACGTTTATTAAATAAAAATAATCAACAGGTCAGGAAAAGGATAAATCGAGTAAGAATTAGAGAAAAAAAATATCTTTCAAAACAAAAGCCAAATTATAACATAGCAACATGAAAAGACAGTTAAAACTGTCAAATGTGTCAAAAATTAGTTCTACACAAACACACACACACACACACACACACACACACACACACTTACACACACTCACTCACACACGAAAATCATTCAAATGGTTGTTAGTACTCGATTTGTTTTATGGAAATTAGCCACAGAAAAGAAATATATTAATCTAGGATCCCTGATTTTTTATAAATTCTTCATAGAATGTTATCCATGATAATTTTGTATTTCGTTGATTTTGATTGATGACTGATGGTTATCAAGGCAATCCTCAAAAATGAATTACTGATCGAGTAATGGAGAATCTACATAAGTAAACAATGATACTAAATGAGTAGCAATATTTTTATAAAGTGGTGAACGCCAACGTTTCAAATCTTAATCAAATTCAGATACAAGGTTATTCCTAGTCTTCCGTTAGGATGACATGTCTGATATCACGCGGTCTGTTAAGTTGTACCCATCTTGCTAAGCACATGACACATACGGCAACAACAAATATCCCTACAAACACTCCGATTCCTATCTCCGTGATACCAACATGGCTGTGTTTCTGTTCCTCTTGACTTCTAGGTCTATTTTTTTCTGAAAAAATATAATATTGAGAATATTGCTATTTCATATGAATCATTGAATATGTGAGGTACTCATTATATGAGAAAAGCAACATAATAAAGCAATGAACTAATACATCTACAGGTAAACAGTAGACAGGAATTATCCATATTCCAAGCAATAACTGATCACGAGCATTAAAAGGGATACATTCACAAATCTGTCATTAACAATTTGAAATAAAAATGTAAGGCAATTCTCTTATCCATTGAAATCAATAGGCGTTAAAAGGTCACGATTTCTTATATATTGTTATCTATTATATTGTTCCTCCCATCATTAATTTAGATTTAACACGACGTCATGTCTTTAGATAAAGGCGACAGTAGTGTACCGATTTTTAAATCTAGTAAGTCGATTATGAATTATAATGCAATTATTTTGTATCAATGGCTCTGATTGGATGACGACAAGCGCAAAATTCTCTATCTCCCTGTCTGTAACTAAGGAAGCCGACATTTTGAATTCCGGAATATATTGCATGTAATTTCTCCAATAATAAGCAAAAAAAACTCACATTTAGACCTATAAACCTTCTTTTCATTAAATTTTATTACATTTTGAAGCGTACAAAAAGTCAGAAAACGGCCGGTGTTTACGTTTGATGCCGGAGCACACCTATGACATCACGTAGTTTAGGCGCCAAAGAAAATACATCATTTCGCGGAATTGTCGTTTAATGAAAATTTTACACTGAAATAATGACTAAAATTGAATGATTTGTTTATTTTGCATTAGAATAGAGATAACTGTATTGTATTTGAAGCTTTGCGGACGTCCAATGGTAGTTTTGCTGTCGCAAATACCCGTTTACCTGTCTCCGCTATGCGTCGCTAGGTAGACTAAATTTGCGACAGTAAAACTACCGATTAACGTCCGCAAAGCTTCAAATACAATACAGTTATCTCTAAAAGACAATTCAAATTTAAAAACAAAAACTGAGTGAATCACCTTTTCTCCAAAAAGGAGCGAGACCAGCTGCAACGACAGGGTACTCGCAAGATATTTCAAAAATCGATACAAATAATTGATGATTCACACTAATGCAACGATTGCAGACTCAAAATCCCACATGGACAGGTTTTGAATAAAATTATCAATGAACATAATTGTTTGGCAAACAATACCGTTCAGTGTAGTTCAAACCTAGACGGTATATTGATCAGAACATCGAATCATCATCGGAAGCAAATAAAAACGGTTTTAAATAAAGTAATTCATTTGGAAATACCAAATGATATTCTTAGTATTTTGAGGAATATCCTCATCATCATAGTCCTGTATGATCCTAGAACAAAGACATTACATCGATTCCCATTTAAATTTTAACTAGGCTTTCATTTAATTAACTAATTAGGTTAAGATTGAAATGAAGGATATTTTAGCATAGTTTGATTCCACGATGGACGGTCTAGTTTTTTTTAATGGATTATTTTTACTTGGATTGCATCGAATTGCCATGTTTTTGTTTCATAATTGTTTTATTGTCATGTCATTTTTCATTTTATTGTATCCATTAAATGTTTTCAGTTTTTCTAGGGGGCTCCTTTATGCGCCTTTCCTTTTGTTCCTTCTTTTTTGCTAGAACTAGTGGACAAACGAGACCCCAGTGATGGGTCAAAAACAGTCATTTCGATATGTCATTACAAAGAAATATAGTAAAGGTAAACGAACAGTTAATATACATCTGACATGACCAAACAAGTTGAAATAATACATCTGTGTACGAACTGTCCTGCAAAAGTGTAAAATATCAAGTTGATTTGTCATTTGTTAATAAATAACCAGCGATTTGAATTACTGACGGTTAAACACATTTCTCCTTGTTAAAAAAATTGCCTCATTCGTAGTTTTTGTTTCTACCGTCTTTTTCATTTTTATGCCCATTATTTACTTGTTTTATGTTTCATTTATTGCCTCGTTTATCATGTTTGAATATCACTCAGGTATCATTTTTCTCACTTTTTAAATACCTACCACATATAATTTCCCTTTTTAAAAATTAGCTAGTTATCTAAAAACGTTATGTTAAAAGTAAAAGCAGTTGGTCTTAAAAAAATAACTGATGTCTAAATACGTTTTGTAGCGAGATTAATAAATAAAAACTTTGTCAGTGTTAACCATTCAAATAAAGAGATTAACCTTTAAAGAGCCCCACTGTTGACAAGGAAATTGGAATTCCCGATATTATATTCACAAATTACCTGTGGTATTTAACACTCGTTTGATCTTAAAATACAAAAAACTATACTTTAAAAAGGTAGACTTTTCCAAGTCGGAGCACTTTGATCAAGAGTTGAAACACAAACTGTTACTAACCAATGAATGTATTTTAGATTTAGTAGATATTTAGCCTTTCAACAAGCCGCCAAATACCCTCTAAATGACTTGTTGTATATATACCTTAGCACGAAAATTTGGAGTTAAGTTCCCATTTTAACCTTATTTAATTGAATATGTGTACATCCAGCACAGCACAGTAAAACGTATGACTCTGTAAATTTTGTTTAACTAGCGGACGGACGCAAGTAACCACTTAGATCTTTAACTTATAATGCTAATATTAAGAATCATAAAATCATGCGAAAAAGTAAAGGCAAGCAACATTTAGAGAAAAGTTCACCTACAGTAGAATATAAGTTTACCTGGGTATGAGGCGTTACGGTGTAGGTACGTATCTTCACAATTGATGTCTTTACACACGAACATTTTGTCAAGCTGTATCAAGTTCCCCTGAATATTGAACTGAAATTTACCATCTTTGAAGGCATTTGCGAATTTCATCAGTGCCATATCTAAACTTGTATAATTCTGCTTCTCTTGACTTTTGTGGTTTTTTGGTCGTACAGCTAGATATACAGTCATTTGTCGTAACAATACGCAAAACCAACGTATGCCTTCGTCTTGCCAACTCATTTTTGCAACAATTTTAGAAAAATACTCCTCAATCATTTTATTTGTAACGTGAATAATGAGCGTCGGTGGGAAGAAAAGTCTCATTTCCCTGACATTACTTTCCTTTTCTGATGTTGAACAATTACGAATTAAGTTCATGAGATCCGTAATGCTTGGAACAAGATTTGTGTCGAAAGATTCCCTTATGCTCCAAAATATAGTCCATACATCATCATGGGACAAATCGCATAATGATATGACGCCAAGTGGTTTTAAAAGACACTGGTTACGTACATAAGTAGCTTTCTTTTCTACTGTTGAACAGTTGAGATGCAACCACTGCTTCAAAACAGGAGCCATTTGGACTTGGAAGCATTTCTGAGCATTTTCATACCATAAACAACCATTTTCGGAAATCTTCGTTTTAGTTGTTGATGCAAAGTTACAAAAGTGAGAACCTAATTCCATCAGTTCTTTGTAATCTGTACCATCACAAGAATATTTAGATTTTAAGCAAGTGCGAAACCATAGGCAGTCATATCCTGTAGGAGTGTGACATCGTCCAGGTATAGGTGAATGTGTAGTCGAGATATATCCTTGGTATTTTGTTACATGTTGTCCAGGGGTACATGCACAGTCGTTGTAAACCTGTCCATTATCCATATCATGTAATTCAACCATACACTGATACCAGCAGTATGTAGGACGTATGCCATACAGATTTTCTTCACAGGCATATCGGTAATTTGTTTTCATCTCAACATAGGAATTTGTTAGGCATGTTGCATACTGCGGAAGATCGTAGCCTTTTAATAGTAAACAGTCGTAAACTCCGCTTGGTCCATCATCAAGATCGCATCTACGAAAACACAATCCAATGGTAATAAGACCTAATATAATAAATGCTATGCCCGCTTTTCGCACTGTATCCATGCTTAATTAAATCTGTAACTACAAATGTGAACATCTAACACAGTTTTTAAATTCGTTTGTTGCAAACAAATTTAAAAAGGGGTACTGTAAAGGATTCTTAAAGTGAACACAATCAGAATGTTAACGTATTTACGATTAAATCTGCTGAGATGATATGTTAAATATATATTGTTAAAGTGTTGCGTAAAATGTAACGAGGAACGTATTACCTGGATAAAAATGATATCATGTTATTTAATATTTGATGTAACCTCTGTATTATTTTCTAAAGCTTCCTGGTTGATGGCCTGCTCATTCTCTTATTATTGTTATATTATATTCATATATGTATTGTATTTGCAAATGACACAGAAAAACAAATTACGTGTACCAGGGATAAAATAACAAAATATACCAGTTCGAATGTAACTATATTAATATCGTGCCAATGCCTTACTATAGCTAGAAAATCTGTTTAATTTTTAAACAGACGAGTATTCAAAAGGCTTTTTTTTTAATTTAAAACAAATTCGTTTGTCGAATAAGCATTCTGTCTCAAGGTTTAACATTTCTTTAGTTCAATTCCCAAGTAAATAAACACAACATAGATACCAAGAACATAGTTTAGTAAGCAAGACTAATCAGTGACGCTCCATTAAAAAAGGTCCAAGTAATGAACTTAATAGAGGCAATTTAGTGCATATATAACAAAACAAATGTTTTTGAATAATAAAATACGAATCTAATGCCATGAATTATGGAAAATATATCATACTATCAAAGTAGTCTTTAAACTAATGGGAGTCTCCTTTGTCAAATCAACTTTATTTGATAGTAAATTGCTGCTGTGCAACTTTAGTTCTCATTATTGTCTCAATATCCCTTAACTAACTATAAAGTCAGAAAGTCAGAAAAAATGCAATGTTGTTATTTTTATTTTTGCGAAAATTGGGACATGATAATTTTGGCTTACAATATAAGCCTTTTGGATCTTGTTTTGGTTATTGGTGTCGCTGGATTTCTGTTTATATATATATATATATATATATATATATATATATAAAGAAAAATAACAAAAGTACCGAACTCCAAGGAAAATTCACAACTGAAAGTTCCTCAACAATTGGCAAAATCAAAAGCTCAAACACATCAAACGGAGGGAAAGCAACTGTCATATTCTTATAAATATATTACACGTTATTTTTTAATTCTTAAATAAATGTAAACACAATTTGATGTCTTTATATTAATTGGAAACGTATTATTTCCAATCTATCTATATGAACAATCAGCATACGCTTGACGAAAAATGGAATATAAGAGGTATCATTTCATAAATGAAAAAATGCGGGGCAGAAATCGTAAAGTAAAAAAGAAGTATGTGAACATATCGTTGATTGACAGCAAAGATTAAATGAAAATTTGGAATTATAAGATATGAAGTTTTCAACTCCATTAGGCAAAGTTGACCTAAGATGGATTTGACTATTTTTAATGTCCTTTTTAGTGATATAGCTCTTCAACTGTTTTGGTTCTTTGGCTTACAAATATTCGGCTTTGAGCATTCCCGATGAAGGCGTATCGGATGTATGAAATTTATAACTTGTTGTTTTCATTTTTTAAAGTACTCAATGCACAAACAAACTATACATTAAACTATATTAACAGATAGAAAAGGATGCAGACGGTATATGGAAGTGATACGTATATATTAAATTTGACCAGAAGCATGTCAATGTTACAATTCGAAATACAAACATGTCTTTCATCCTTGGACTTCAATATAAGCAAACTATACGAAATGGATATTCACAATCTTAGTCAACAAACTGACAATGACATTAAAAAAAAATGAAAAACGATCAAAAGACAAAGCAACAATATACATAACAAAATTGAAATCTAACGACAGGGCAACACGAACCCAATTAAACCGGGTCGATCTCAGGGTGGTTTGTTAGGGAACCTCATAAACCGTAAGTGAAAGACATCTAGGGGTTTAAAAAGAAGGAAAATGAGATCAAGTGCAAAGGTCGAGGTCAAATTTTTAATTGTGAACTTAATTGTTATTGCAAACAGCAGAAACCGTTTAAGTTATCGACATCACGTTTGTGGCAAATTGAAAGTTGAGGCAAGACACTACCCGTATACATCGGATTGAAATGCTGTGCTGACCGTCTATATGAGTTTTCTCCCTTTATTATTCTAAAACAGCTTTCGGTAGATTAATTTCTTGACGATACATATTATGAACCTAAGGTCTCCTGATATGAGATCCATGAGATCATAGTCAAAGTTAAATTAGTTGTTCTAGATTTTAACTTTTGCTATATTTTCATACAGAAACATTATAAAAGCCATAATGCCTTTTGCCTTAGACTGGACAAAATATGACCTCGAAAAGGGTAAACAAGAAATGACCTCGAGTTAAGCGGAAATAATATTTATAATACAAACTCCGCGTGTTGGTCTGTCATAAGTATTTGTTGTTATACACAATAAAAGCGCATAATATATTCTAACTACAGATTTTAAAATGAGAAAAAATAATATGACGCACGCCTATCTGTGTATATCGTATTTTTTATTTCACGTGTTAATATTGGATAATAGCGATTCACAGTCAAAACTCTTTACTTTGCATAGCGCAATTAAAAAAATGATCTTAAGAAGACACTGTTTGTATTCAGAGCAATCAGAATCCGTCACTTTACAAAGTTAACAGAGAATCGGTAATGCAAACACTATTAAAAGATATAATGTTTGTGCATTGCAAATTGAATTACACTTTTTGGATGTGATACTAACTGATGAATTTGAATCATCACACTCAATTCGTTATGTGTGGTTGTATTATAAAACGGCGACATAGAGGCAACACCGTAATAGTGTGGACGACGGTAATACACAAGTTGTTATAATAGCGAATCTTATAACTTTAAGTTGTTTGTCATTGGCTATCGATAATATTACGCATACACAATTTCTCGGAGGCCGAACAAAAGGGATGTCAATAATCACTTGTTTCACATTTTGAAACATAACTCGTACGGCTAGTTTAATTTGGATATTCAGGTATATTAGACTACTTAAATGTCTCTATTTATGTTTATTTTAAAATGGTGAATCTGAATAATTAAAGACTTTTCTATTTGTATAATGCTTTCTGTAAAGGGGAAACCAGTACAGTCTGGTATTTGTAAATATGTTGTGAATAATTAAGTAGCAAAAACAGATACTGAAAATAATGAATAAAATATAATCCAAAAATAAGAAAGAAAAAAAATAAACCAACTGTTTTTTACAAGGTCCTAATTTTCTTTCACCTATTTGATATTATCATTACATATCTTACCACACAAACATATTTTGTGTAAAAAAAGTCGACTTCCGGTTCATTTTATCGAAATGTCGTAATCGCTTTCTCAATTTCAGTAAATTACTGAAACGTAAATGCATCTCTCTTATAAGTAAGGGACTTTTCGGAAACGTCACATCAACAATCGAATATCGACGTTTGTAAAAATAACCAAAAAAAAAATATTTTCATTCAATGTTATTTAAAAAAACATATATACCACAGGAAACTTGAATTTCAGCACTGCAAACGACACTAAAAGTTGTACACTACCTTTTGTATCTAAAGTATACAACAGTTTGAAAATCGGTTATTTGATCCAGAGGATTTATTTTTCGCCATCATATGCAACAATTTGATATTCTCTCCGGACCTCGCGCATTTTATAGAAATGTAATTGCACATAAAATTTTGCATGTAGCATCCAGAAGTTAAGAACAGTAAAATGTTCTATTTATCACTGTCACACAGTGTATTTCAATCCAATTTCGTGTATAAGGTGTACTATTTTGAGGAAAATCACCGAAAAATATTTCTCAAGGATCCATCGCTCCTCCCAATCTACAACATAATAGCCTTACAACAATGTCCAGTTTTCATACATTCTCGCTGTGTTGAAGACCCATTCGTGGCCTTCGGCTGTTTTCTGCTCTGTGGTCGGGCTGTTGTCTCTTTGACACATTCCTCGTTTCCATTATCAATTTATTTTACAGAGTTTGTCTTTAGTGCCGTGTGGAGACAGTAGAGTGACTCCACGTGCTTCAGGTTTATGCTCTTATAATATGTGTTTCTCTGTCCTGACTGTTCTTGCATTTATTTGTGATGTATTCTTGTCACGTAATATTGTCATTTTAGCGGGATATTTTAACATTGCCATATAAGCGGGAGGTTTTGCTTGCCATACAACCAGGTTCAACCCACCATTATTTCTTAAAATGTCCTGTACCAAGTCAGGAATATGGCAGCTGTTATAAAAAAATCCATTTCTATGTATGTTGGCGTTTGTTTTTGTTGCAGTTCAGTGTTTCTGTTTTGTGACCCGGATTTGTTTTCGCTTAGTCGATTTATGACAATTGAACAGGGGTATACTACTGTTGCCTTTATTTTCCCTGTCGGGACACCCGATCTCGCTCATTTGGAGTTCATGCAATTCCCTCAGTTTTTGTTTGCAACCACAAATTGTCTTGTTAATTGATTTATGAGATTTGATCGTCCACAATGTTCCATTGCCTTAATTTAATTCGTTATAGTCACTGAAAAACAATATTTTATGTAATGGCGGGCTCAAAAACTAAGTTGTGAAAAATACTGTCAAGTCAATTTTGGAAAATTCCACAGTGTTAAGGTTTATTTGGAGTTCTCCAATAATTGATGTAATGAAAGAGCTTTAGATTCTTGATGTACATGAGTTTGTTTTCCATTTTTCATCACCAATATTACATGTTTAAAGCAAAGATCAATATTTTATTTTTAAATGTCCAGTTAACAAGCTTATAATACAAATCGCGATAAGTTATAAAAACAAGACAAAATACATGTGAAGGTATCTTTCAAATTACTAAGTTAACATTATAATACGTTTTGTTTAAAAAAATTAAAAGATGTTTGATGATTGCCAGTGAGACAATCATCCCCCAGGGACCAAACTGTGTAGATGTAGGCAACCCTAGATCAACTTACGGCCTTCAACAAGGAACAAAACCTATACCGTTAGGCACAGAAATGACAAAATAAAAACAGTTCACACCAGAAAAGGTAACAGCTATATTTATATA